TGTGTCGACGCATAAATGAATGGCTGAGTTTCATTTTTAATGATTAATGTTTTTATTTAATTTATTCGTTTCATTCTTGATCAAAAAAAGTGGCCTTGAGAAGGTCATAAACAATCAGTTTAACCTAATTATTTCTACCAAAAACTATTTATTTAGTAGCCATCTTTTATTGGATTTTTTTTTTTTTGTCTTATTTGTTGTTTGTTTTGGTTTTGAACGTATTTCATTAAGTACAAGAAAAAAAAAAAAGCTTGCTCTCTTACAACTTGTCACAACAAGATACTAACAAGGAAATTGCTCTGATGCTGTGGGGATCTATGGTATGTGACTTTGTCTCATTTTATTTAAATCAGTAATTTAGGTCTCATTAATGTTGAGAAAAAAGCATATCACAGCAGTCATGTGGAACTCCATGTGAAGGGAATCCCTTGTAACAGAGATAAATTAGTTCTGTATTGTTTAGAACCTCTGATATTTGAATCCACTCATCTTCTACTGAGTTACTGAGCCTTTTCTGTCCATCTTTCACAAGCGGTGAGATTTAATACTGTGATGCTCATTATTGCCTTCTCTTTAGGGATTCATGCTACAAAGGAACATCAAGACTGAATGATATGAGATCTGAAAATCCCTAGGGAATATTACAATGGGACACCAGCATTTATTTGCTATGTTCAGCCTCACATTAAATTAAACACGAGGAAGGTAAAGCAGCTAAGCTGGCATTCTAATGTTAGACGTATACCCAGTTTCCTTGGAGACAACAAAACATGTAATGATGCTGTTTAAGATGTTGCTGTGTTGCAGTTACTTGTGTGCAATGTCTATTTTGGTTCTTTGAACATGTATTTTTAACATCAAACTTCTAATCTTCAGCAAACAAGAGCAGAGTGAAAGAGTGAAAACAGCATTGTTTGTACCGGTAATTGGTTTTGAACTCCGGATCTTAATCCCAAAACCACAGACTGTTTCTATCCCACGTTATAGAGTGGAATATAATGCTAATGTAATATGGATATGTGTTACCAAGGTGCTGTAAAACTTTGGAGCCAACAGCAATAGTTTGATCTATGGACAAACATGACTGTAGTACAATTGATCTATTGCTATTGATAATTTTGACTATTGGCAAACCTGCTATTATTGTTCATATATCTACACGTTACCCACTCTGTTATCTTAAAATAACCACACTAGTTTGGTCTAAATGTTAAAAAAAACAGTTTTTTTTAGATAATGAGATGATTTTTGTACAAAAACAAGTGTTACACTCAGTTTCATCATTCGGTATTGCTGCAGTGACACTTGGAGATGATCTGTAAAAGTATTGGGTTGATCGATTGATGTTTTTCGATGGAATATTTTCTGCTTAAATCACTTCCCAACCTGACTGACTTGATTTTTTGATAAAAATGTGGATAATTTTGAAAAGGGCTTTAATTTTATCAAGATATTGAAAAAAATATTGATTTCTAAAAATTTTCTGACTTCTCTCCAAATTTGTGTAATGATATATCGCACAAATTATGACTCCAAGTATTAGTTAATTGAAGATCGCTTCCATTTTGTCTGCAAAATGTCTGCAAATTTCAATTTAGAAACAAATCATAGTAAGATATATTTACTGTTATGCTTTTAGTTAGCACTGAATGCATAGCTGTTTTTATCCTGATTAGCCTGAACGTTTTTATCATGAACATTTAAGCATTGCTTTTAATCTAATTTCAAAATTTAGATTTGATTGTGTTTTATTTTATTGTTCCTGTTGTAGATTTTATATTTTTGTCTTTATGTGTTTAGGTTTTTTATTTATTATCACACCTTAATTGGCAGCACAATGGATTAGAGATCAACACTGTCACCTCCCAGTAAGAAGGTGCTATAGTTTTAATCCCCAGTTTGAACCTGGGTTTTTTATTTTTATTTAATTTTTTTGCATGGAATTTGCATGATTTCCTCATGTTTGCATAGGTTTCCTCCGGGTACTCCAGTTTTCGCCCACAGTCCAAAAAAACATGCATATTTTGGCAACCTTCAGACCTCCGTTGAAAAATAGATCTTTAATCCCATGGGATTAACCTGGATCAATTAAGATAACATAATGAATAAATAAATCTGCTTGTTTTGGTCAAGTTTTTGAGTAACACTTGCATTTTGCAAGTTCTTTACATTATAAATAAAAAATGTATTGAGTTGAGCAGAACATTGATCAAAACATCACTTTTATTAAAAATAAATAAAAAAATAAAATTACCTGAAAAATGAAGTTCCATTTAAACCATGTTCAACTTGATCGAAAAGGACTTGAATCCATAAAACCAAAATTATCATAAAGGTTTTTAAAACTCCTTGTTAATGTGCTTATAAATTGTGTAATAATTTTGAATGACTAAATCAGTCTTTTTATTTCAAACAGACTAAAAAGCAAATACACATATAGATTTTGGCCAGTTTACAAACTTCCTATCCCTTTATCAATTAACTACTGATCAATACAAATCCAATGCTTATTTTTATCAAAACTAATTAATAATTTGCAAGCATTTGCTCTATAACCAGACCTATTGGATGTATTATTCTTTGTTGTAGATTTTGTTTAATGTTACAAAATTGGATCATTAAAAGAGAGCATCAAAGAGAGCGTAGCGCTTTAACTAAATCAGTGGGTGAAATTCAGATTTATAAAATACTTTAATTAGGGTCCTTTATCTCACACCCAGTCTGATGTTCACACATTTTCACAGACTATTGAGGAAAAATCATAAATCACTATAAATATCACTCATGCAAAATGAATTTTAATAATATACCCATTTTACAAATGCACCAGCAGTTCATTTGAATTAGTGAGAAAGTATCTGCAGCCCTAATTACCACAGAAAGATTGAGTAGAGATTATCTAGCAATCTAATCTGCATTGCAAAGTTCTGGGAATTTTGACAGCGATGAATAAAGATTTACTGAGAGATTATTATGAGGGGCATGTGCATTGCCTAATGGTTATAATGTAAAGGCTTTTAAATCATAATGTGCAGACACATTTCAGAGACTGGTTCATGTAAAAATAATAATAATAATTGTGCATGCAGCTTTCTCTTGTTGCATTTATCATGATGAAGCTGCAAACCTGCATGATCCTGAGGTGTTTTATCAGCATCAGGTGAACTGTTCTTTGGAAAAAAAATAAATAAAAGTGGACATTTTTTAAAGCTGCATCAGTCATTTCACTTCAGCGTTATTTGAAGTCTACGCAAAACTGCTGGTTTTGATCTTATTCTTCCAAAATATATAACAGATTTTAATAAAACTGTGCACAAGGAAGACATTAAGATGCATATGATAGACATATCTTGCCAAAACTGTCTTGTTCCCAACAAAACCCGACAATCCCCACAGTTGCAGTTTGGCACAATACTTGGTGGCAGCAGGCGGACACAGATACACTCAGAATCCAAACACATGCAAGTCATCACGCAGGAAAACACAGTCATGAGGTAGAAATTAAATCCCCACCAAGGTTTCCTGAAAGCACTGCTTCCTTCTAATAAATGTAATAATCGACTGAGGCATCCTGTCACACTGACAAAAAAAAAAGAGCTTTGTGAGCTAAAGCTTTGTCCGTTTGCTGTCAGCCTATCCCCTGCTTCAGCGTAAAACACAAAAACGTATTCCTCGACATCTGACAGTCCGTTTTAGACCAATATGATGACGACCCCCAAACAAAAATAAATATAAGTTGATATTTATATTCACGAGTCACAATTTTTTTTCTCACTTTAATGCTGAGCCTAATCCTGCAGTTTGACAACTGGATGTCTCGGCTTAAAAACAGGCTCATGTTTGCTTTTAAACACACACACACACACACACACACACACACACACACACACACACACACACACACACACACACACACACACACACACACACA